AATGTTTTAATTGTTTTATTGAAAATATACTGATTTTATGTAAGCTGCCCTGAGCTGGCCTTGGCTGAGAGAGCGGGGTAAATAAAAAAAATAATAAGCATTAAAATAGGGTGTTTAACAGAAGCTCTGCATCCTGTTTCTGTGGTTGACTTATCTTTACAGCCTACCAGGACTGCAGACAGCAATGTTTTAATGAAAGGATCCCAGTTAGGGATGGGCACAAACTGGGAAAACGGAGGTTCGTGGGGACTCATGAACCACGAACCTCCAAGAACCTTCCCGGTTAACAAACCAGTTAACAAAACCCTCCTTTCTGCTGTCAGCGGCTCCCCAAGGCCAGCAGAATGGAAGGGGGGTGGAGATCTTGCAAAAGCCATTCATAGGGAACACTCTCTTTAAATGGCTTTTGCAACATTTAAACATTAACATTTTTAAAATTTAAAAATGGATGCAAGCCATTTCAGCGATCCCTCTTGCTCCCCCCCCCCCGCTTCCCACCACAAAAGTGAGAAATCACGTGGAGGGTCATGGGAGGATCATGGGAGGGTTGTGGATAGGGATGGGCACAAACCGGCGATGTTCATAACGAAATTAGATTTGTGACTGGGTTCATGCCAATCCCTAATCCAGGTAGCTGTGAAGTTTTTTTTTCCACCTTGCAGCTGTTCATACAGTTGTATGAGCTTGCATTGCAAAGTAAAAACATGTTATAGGAACTCCTTTGATTGATATGCTTGGTATTTGCTTTGAATAATGGATAATCAGAGTTCAACACTAACACTTTTTCAACACTAGGGCAATAGAACATGAGAAAGGAATGTTTCTGAACATGTGCTGACTGCTACCTGTGTACCATTAAGTACCACAACTAGCTGCCACATATCTATGATTAGAAGGCAAGCTTTTTACACCAGAGGTTGTGGCATCTGGGTATGCTTGAACCCAGTCTGATGTTTTCACTATTCAATATGTTATACTTCTAAATAAACTCTATGTTGAAGAGAAAACAGCTATTTTATTTAGAGTAAAGAATCCCTTTTTAGTTCAGAGGACCCTTAAACACTGACCATTCTGTCATTCTACCAATTATAACTAAGCCATCTTGTTTTTTAGGTCCAACTAAGAATTCTAAGGCAAGAGAGTCTTTGGTGGCAGCAAAAGTAAGTAGGGAATGCGGCAGCAAAAGTAAGTAGGGAATGCTAAGGAAGGCAAGAAAGCAGCACAACACACATCACCTCAGAACACTATAGAGAGGTGCCTTTACACAGGTTACATATAAAAGGTCACAGAGAGAAAGATCCAAAATGTTACACCAATCTTTTTACATACCTCAAATCTAGCACTGAATATTCAGCCCCATCCATGGAAACTACAGATCTCAGAGTTATAGCCTTCATTTTAATCCAAACAGTTTGCCAGTTAATATTTGTAGTCCTTTAGCCAACTCTTAATTAAGTTAGAAAATGATCTGAGCTGGCACATGTCACTTATTTATTTATTTAAAACATGTATTAGTGGTGTTTCTACCTTATAGGAATTCAAGGTGGCTTACAATGTAAACAACAACAACAACAATAAAAACCATGAGTTAAAACCACTCTTTAATCGATGGGACAGTCAAGAGGGCTTCCCCCTATGATCTTAGTTCTCAGGCAGGAATGTAAGGGAGAAGATAGTCGTTCAGATACTCCGGTCCGATGCCATGTAGGGCTTAAAAGAACAAAAACAACACACTGAGTTGGGCTCAGGATCAGATCAGAAGCCAGTGTAATTGCTGTAGGTTTGGGGTCACGTGATCCAGGTAAGTGCCCCCAACCAGCAGTTTAGTTACTGTGGCAGAATTTGGGGTTCAATGAGCCTGGGCCTTTCTGTTTTTCCTTGCTATGAAGGTTTTATTATAACTAACTTTGGTTTCTTGGTTCAGAAGTCCCATAAACCTTTGCTCTTTTGCTGGCAGCCTAGGGGTAAAACTAAAGCCTTGCCCTATAGATGTACCTTTCCCTGAATACACACTTTATGGCTTTCAAAGCCTAAACATATCTGCCTAGGTCTTTTTGACATTGCAGTTAATAAAATATATCTAGGTGAACATTCATACTAGCAAAAGTTCATCTTATCAACTTTAGGTGGGCTGGTATTTGGCAAGTTTGGTATATTTTAATTAACTCCTCCCTTGATTCCTATTGGCTGAAAGGAGTTTAAAAAGGATGCTTTGGGCTTTGTTCAGGGCTGTTTGGCCAACAGCCCACCTAGGCTTGAGTGAGGTCTTGGTCCATAGTCCAGGAATTCTTTGTTTATTCTGAAGTGTACACTATATCAGGTATCGGGATTTTTCTATATACTACTGGGTATTAATATTGCATATATGCTATTCAGTTTTACTTGTGGATGGTTTTAGAATAAATCCTTTTAGTTTAAAGCAACTGTTCTTGCTGTGTTTCTCTCCCTCTGGAGGCCTGAGTTCCCAAGCCAGACACCACCCACCCATAGAAAAGAGCCCTAATGGGGCTGGGGATCCCAGGAAGAGGCCTGGACCCCTAAAATTCCCCTACAGTTACAGCATTCTACACTAGCTGTAGCCCCCAAACACTTTGCAAGGGTAGCCACAAATAAACTTTACAAACTTGTGTGTGCAAGATAATATGCCAAGAAACAGCCAGGCATATAGTGTCAATACCTAAAAATGCACCTGGAATTGTCAAGAGCTACTGTATTGAGAAATAATAGTAGTTAAGCTCCAAGTTAAGCATTGTGTAAATACATGAAATGCAAATTAGTATAACAAATATATTTTCCCCTAAAATAGTTTTTAAGGAGGAGTCAAGAATATAAAAGAGCACATAAAAGGGCACTGATTTCTAACCAGATATTAGACATGGCACGGGACCAAGAGAAAGATAATCCCCATATAGAAGAAATATAACACATGAAACAACCCTATCTGGTTTCCTAAGGAAATACTAATGTACAGAAACACTGTTCATTTTTACATTTCCCACTAAATCTTTGATTGATACGGATACCAAACTCTCCCAAATTGCTATTTTTACGAAAACAGAAGAATTTGAAAATGGCATTTTAAGGCATATAAAGCATTTCTGATTTAATTTTTCCTTGTTTCTCACTTGATCTAATGTGAAATATAAGAAAGAAAAAGCAACTAATTAATGCTGCTGTATATTTTAGGCAAAGTTCTTACATTTCGTTCATTTATCTATAATCACAACATCCAGAAATTCTAACTGGACTACAACTATTTGCATATGAGGTACTTTAAAGTGCAAAGTCCAGTCTAATGCATCCACATTTCTTACATTTACGTTCTACCCTTTCTCCAAGGAGGTCAGGGTGGAACATGTTGTTGTTTTGTGTTATATAAATCCTATAAACAGATTAGGCTGGGAGAAAATGACTGATCCAAAGTCATCCACTGAACTTCATTGTCCAAGTGAGGATCTGAACCCAAGTTTAAGATGCTTAACAGCTACACCACACTGGCTCTCTGAAGTTAATCATGCCTAAGCTTGAGATTCCAGTGGGCTTATGAATGCTTACATCTTTGTTGGTTTGTCACCCATGCATTAGAAAAGTCTCACATAACTTTAGTAATCTTGTTGACTGAGAGGTTTAGAAATGTCACTAGATCAGAAGTCCATGTGGTCATAACCACAAGAAGAGAGCAAAGTATGCTGTGTAAAGATATAACAATCTGATCCTGAAAACTGCTCATAGCATTATATCTAATTTGAAAATGTCCCTAGAATGTAGATCAAAAAGCCTACATAATGGGGTCATGTCCACGTACAAGAGATTTTCTTCAAACCTACAAAAATCCTTAGGTTTCCCGAAAAATCCCAAAACTCAAATTGCAACTAAAGGTGTTAAACCCCCTCCCCCAACAGAGACTACTGACTGAGATCTTGCAAAATCATAGTCTGCTACTGAGGCAGCAGAGTCTGGGCACAGGCAATTTTAGCCAACTGCAGGTTGGAGGAAAGCTGCATCAGACAGGAGAGGAGGAGAAAGGGCTGGGAAGAGAAAGATGGCAATGGATGGGATGGGATTTCCCTTCCCCCATGAGTTTCACAGGACCCCCTCGCTTGCAATGTAAACATTTGTAAAGAAAAATGGATCTGTGTGGTCACAGCTCTTTACAAACAACAGCTTTCTACCATTATTCACATTTTATTACATCATTTTAAAATACTTTACTTTAGAATCACCAAGTAGGAAAGTATACTTCCTACACCTTAGAATATTTCTCTTTCTGGACAATTAATTTTTTTGCTTTACATTTCTTTTTTCCTTTTAGGCTTCAAACTGTACAAGATTAATACAAGGGAATTAGACTTGCAAAGGTAAGCAATCCTACAGGAAAGAAAATCCTACAGAATTCAGTGCAACATACTTCTGAGAAAACATGATTAAGCTCACTATTACCTTAACAAACCAAAGTAAGTCCACTAAATCAACTGATGTAGCACTAAATATAGTTAGACTTATGCTAAGTCAGCCAAGATGCAGTCATTATCAAATGGCTATATGGTCAATAGCACATTTTTATTTCAAATATTTACTATAAACTCATCCACAACCAATGTCCTCTATAGCTACTTCCCCAGAACAGTCAAGAACTCTAGTCAAATGTTATCAGTGCTGCACTGCTATAAATAAAATTCCATTTTTACACATTCATAAAATGAAAGCAAATGCTGTAGCCACACTCAATGGCATATACTCAAACCTATCCTGGTAGCTGGATTTAAACCCAAGGGTATAGACTAGACAAGCTACCTACTGAAGATAGCACTGCATCACATTCTAAGATTTTATTTTCAACACAAGTGGCCTTATACAGACAAACAGTATGCCTGGAAACAGAAAGTCTTCATGGCCTAAGAAATCTCCTTAGTACTCTTAGCCACAAACCCATCATTTACTTCAGCACAACCCTATATGAGCGCTTTGTGGGTGTGGGTGTTTGTATTTGCTTTGATTACCTGTAGGGGGAAGGCTGAGGAGAGGAGCAGGGGTCTCATTCCGGGGAAAGCCGAAAGGCTAAAGACTAACTCTCTGCATGGCCACGTCCACAGTTGGCCTCCCAGAGATCCTCACTGCTCGCCTTGACTTGGGGGGCTGGAAGATGCCTCCTCTTCCTCCTGTGGAGCTTCCCGGTTCCTAGATCACGAAAGTACTTGTTATCTCCACCCCGGGTCGGTGGACAAAGGCCCTCGTTTATCAGAAGTCACCACAGTAACCGACGTGGGATACTTCTCCAGTGGGAAGACTGCTCTTCAAGGCACTCCGGCTCTCGTCTCTGCTCAGGCCGGCGAATTTGCGATCAGATCCGATCGGGGTCGAGCCTTCCAGTAGTGCAAGCTCGAGGGCACGATCTCCCAGCCACGAAAAGAAGGACGGGAAGGAAACAAGCGCCGATGTCTTACCGCCCCAGGTGTAAAAGCCCAAGATACGGCCCAACTCCCGGCGTCTCTATAGGAGAGAAAATTTTCCTACTACTGGCCCGCGAGTGGGAATTCGGCTGTGGCGGTCTTTCGAGGGTGTGAAGCGACTGAGCCACCGACCCCTGGGCCTGGGCTGGGCCTCTCGTCTGTCGGGCTCCGGTATTGGAGAGCCACGTCCTCAGCCTCTTCGCTGGAACCTACGCTGGGGCCGGAGATGTCTCACAGCCATGGCCTCTTCCAGTCACCCGCAGTTTCTGTCGCCGCCGCCGCCATCGCTGCTGTTTGTTTTCATCCGCTCAGGGATAAAGAGGAAGCCACCAGTGCATCCGTCGCGGCACTTTCCACGCTAGAGAGAAGCCCCTCCCCCCTTTTAAAGCCAGCTTCGTTTTCCAGTGCTCAGTCCCCTTCTCCAGTCAAGATGGAGCAAGTTGCGGGGTTTGGGGTTCATTCGAGGCGCAGCCGAGAGAGCGCCCAGTAGTTCCAGGGCCTACGAGGAAGTCCGACCTCGTGAGGAATCTGCTGTCGGGAATGAGAAGCCCAGGCCTTCGTGAGCGGGACCAGAGCTCCGCCTCGCTGTCCCGGCGCTGGGAGGGACGGCGGGGATCCACTCCCTTTGCACCACTGGGTAAATCTGCGCTCTTTTCCCGTTCCCGTTTCTTTCCCTCCGACCCCTTCGTCACCTCCGTCAAAATACAACCCTACACTACTGTTCAGAAAACTTCCGTCCCCACGGTCTGCACGCCCATAGCTAAGCCTCTCTGGAGGTGAGATAAGCTTCGTTTAGGATCCTCTTGTACCCCAAGGTTGCTCACGGGACCCGGCTGGTTTTAGATAGCTCATCGTGGTTCTAGTAACTGATCATTTTGAACGGGTGAGCTGCTAGCGTTAAAGCCTGCCATAGCTAGCTCCCCTACACCGCGGACTTCCCTTGAGCCTTCTGTTAACCTGTAGCCCTCATTACTGACCCTAATCACTGACACGATCTCATTGCTATTATTTTCTCTCTGCCTCACCTTTAATTGTAGTCCGCTGACTAAGGACGAATGCAGTAATTCCCTGCGGACATGGAAGATTTTTGCAGGTAAGTTGTCCTTGCCGAGTGGGCTTCTTGAAAAAAATTCACACAAGAAAGAGCTGCAGGGAGCTGTATGGGGCCACTTTCCATCATATAGCCTGAAGATTCTATTCTAGTGAGCCAGTTTGTTGTGGTGGTTTAGAGTGGTGAACTCTAACCTGGAAAACCGGGTTTGATTTCCCGCTCCTCCACATGTGAAGCCAGCTGGGTGACCTTGGGCCCAGTCACTGTTTATCTCAGAACTCTCTCAGCCCCACCTACCTCACAAGGTGCCTGTTGTGGCAAGAGGAGGGGAAGGAGATTGTAAGCTGCTTTGAGACTCCTTAAGGTAGAGAAAAGTGGGGTATAAAAACCAGCTCTCTTCATATTCATCATTAAATTAAAAAGGATTGTCCCAGGAATTAGAAATGTAGTGTGAAATAATCTACCATTAGGAATACAATCCAAATAGATTTCAGGGGAAAATATCTTAATAAAGATGGTTACCTAGCACTCACAATCACGTCATCAATAAAGGTAGCAAAATAATCAATATATCTTACCTTGTTTATTGGTTAACGTTTAAAATGTTAGAATAATTCTTCTATGATGTACAAGGTGCTTTGATGTGATTTGATCCTTATCGCTTGTTGCTGCTTACTTTATGTTTCAAAGGTTTATTGTTATAAATGTTTATTCAAATAAAGCATTTAAAATTAAAAATAATAATAAAAAATAAAGATGGTTACAATGATGCAATTGAAAATGTGTTGTAATTATTATAATAATAATCATTATCCACCTAAACCATATATTCTCCTTTTGCTAGTCTAAATTCAGTCAGAAATTCAAATTATATTTTTAGGAATTTGTGCTTGTGTATTTAGCTAAAATCCCCACTGACATACTGCCAGTTTGGTGTAGTGGTTAAGAGCATGGACTCTAATCTGGGAGAACCAGGTTTGATTCCCCACTTCTCCACATGCAGCTGCTGGTGTGACCTTGACCCTGTCATAAATTCTTTCAGAGCTGTTCTCTCAAGGGCAGTTCTCAGAGAGCTTTCCCAGCTCCACCTACCTCACAGGGTGTCTGTTGTGGGGAGGGGAAGGGATTGTAAACTGCTCTGAGACTCCTTCAGGTAGTGAAGGGTGGGGTATAAATCCAGTCTCCTCTTCTCCTTAATCAATGGGAACTAATGAGAGATAATTCAGAGTAACAGTGCTATCCTCAGCAGAGCTATGCTTTTGTAAACCCACTGACTTCACTGGAGTTAGAAGGGTGTAACTATTTAGGACTACACTGTTAGGCTGCATTCTTTTCCCATTGTATCTGATAAAGTGAGCTTTGTCTCGTGAAAGCTCATGCTGGAATAAATGTTGTTAGTCTTTAGGGTGCCAGTGGCTTCTGTTTTGTTTTGCAATCCTAAAAACACTTTCCTGGGAGTAGGCTCTATTGAATAAAATGGGAATTACTTCTGAGAAGATGTGCTCTCAGTCAGCAATACTGACAGAAACAGATGAAGAACTAGCAACTGCATGAGCAGCTCTGGATTGGTGGAGGAAGTAAACATGTATGGTGTAATCTTCCATTAAAGGCTGATGCAGTATGTATGCCACTCATTCATTCCACTCATACAAAAACCAGAAAATAAAATAGCTTAACAGAAGTAACATTTTAAAGGGAAAAGAAGAATATATGTTGAGAAAAAAAATGTCCTTAAATGTGTATGGACACTTTTTAAAAGAGAAATTTAAATGGTTCCTGAGTTGTCATAACCTGGTAGATTCTCATTATTATGAGAATTTTGTAGAAACGGCTTTCATTCTTCTATCAATTAGAGCACTAGAAGATAAAGAGATTCCTGCAAGATCAGACCATCTAGTCCAGCATCCTGTTTCCTGCAGTCATCAGCCAGATGCCTCTGGGAAGTCTGCTTGCTTCTACCCTAGCAGTGTTTAGCGGTACCCTGCTTCTGAATGTGGAGGATTCATTTTCCCATAATGGCTAAAACCAGTTGATTGAAGAAGAAGAAGAAGAAGAGAAGAGATTGGATTTATACCCTGCCCTTCACTACCCAAAGGTGTCTCAGAGCGGCTTACAAACTCCTTTCCCTTCCCCTGTGAAGTAGGTGGGGCAGAGAGAGCTCTGACAATAACTGCTATTTTTCAAGAACAGCTCTTATCAGAACTATGGCTTGCCCAAGGTCATCCAGCCAGGTGCAAGTGGAGGAGTGGGGAACCAAACCCGGTTCTCCCAGATTAGAGTCCGCGCACTTAACCACTACACCAAACTGGCTCACCAAACCAAACATTGACCTATCCATGAATTCATCACATCCTTTGTGGCAATGAATTCTATAAATTAGTGACATTTTGTGTGAAAAAGTCATTCTATCTGTCTACCACGTGTTTTATTTTCTGTTTTGCTCATCTTCTAGCCCTCAGCTTAACTGGATAACCCCAAGTAGTTTAGTATTATGGCAGAGGGCGAAACAGTTCACTTCCTGTGCTCTAGGCATATTTTTAAAACATTTATAACATCTTTCTTTTTTCTCAGTTAAAAAGTGAACATTTATAACATCTCTGTTTTTTTCTCATTTTAAAAGCTCAATACTTGTCTTTACCTGTAGTGAAATATTTCATATTCTTGATCATTTTCATTGTCCATTTCTGCATCACATAATGACTGGGAGAGAAGGGAGGGCAGAGAAAGGGCAGTGTTCAGTGTCCAACATTCACCCAGTATAATTAACATAATATACTGAGCAGACAGATTAAAAACCCTTCTTTGTCACTGAGTATTAATGATAATTACCGTTGAAATTAAAGTGTTCTCAATAAAGAGACAATTAGTCATTGACAGTATAACCAATGTGTAACAATAGTTTCTTGGTTTGATAGTCAACATGCCTTCCCCATTAAATCAGTATACAACTATATGTTAAAAAAATTAAAAATTAGTTTAAAAGTTCCTCCCAAACTACAAAAAAACAAACCACGTGCATGAACAGGATTAGGCTTTGTATTTAAGATAAGTTTTGCATGTTTTTCCATGTATGCTTTCATAGGAACAGCTCACATTAATGGAGGAAGTGCACACCGGTCTCTAGTGATGCTGATGTACTTGTCAGGTCTTCACCCTTGCATTCTGCTGTCAGAATATATAGGTGACTTAGGCTGAGTAATTTTGCCTGTACTTAAGTTCTCATTAATTAAGATGGGCAGTACAAAAATTCATAATTTTAAGAATACACTGTATTTTCACAAAATATGAGCAAAGGATCCCCAGAATATTTTTGACTTTTGGATGGAATCTATCGTTGCTTCCAGAGCAGGGGCATGAAAATGTACCTCTGTAGCAGCAGCAAAAAGGGCAAGAATTATGTCTGCACATACTCATTCTCACACTGATTGCTACTGCTGGCTGCCCACCCTCTTTCCTTCTCTTTTTCTCCTGTTGTGCATGCACAAAAGTATAGGTCTGATGGCGATAGTGCCGCCTCCCACCCACTGCCAGAAAACACCACTCCTACTCTTTATCTTTCCCTTTTACTAACAAACTGCAATGTAAATGCTACAGTGCAGTTCAATAGGGAAAGGGAAAAGGGGCTTTTAAAAGCTAAAAAGTGAGGAAGGGAATCTGCTCTTTTATGTACAAGAAGTTTGTCATCTCTCTTTCTTGAAGAATGGCAAACCTGCTTTGTGGAATTTTGAAATCTGAGCTTAACTCTGCCCCCCCACCCCCGGTGATGGAGACATTGTCCAGGCAGAAGGTTTATCTGCAAGCCTTCCTGCAGTTCCCCCCTTTACACCAGAGAAAAACAGTATTATTTTTCTCCAGTTTAAAGGGGGAAATGATAGGTTGTGGACAACGCTCCCTCTAAGCTGCGGAGTCCTGTGAGCAAAAAACCTACTTTGTGAGCTGCTGGCCTTAAAGTTGTGAGTGGGCGATTTGACTACAGCACAAATCAGTTTGCTTGGGAGCCATCCTTCCTGAGTGAAGACAAAAAGGTGTGAGCCGGGGGCTAAAAATCTGTGAGCTAGTTCACACTAACTCAGCTTAGAGGGAACACTGGTTGTGGACATCCTCTTTAATCCAGAGTCTTCTTGCTTTTCATGCAGGGGGGAAAAAATCTCTGAATAGAGGCAGTCTGACTAAACAAAAGGTGAAATTGTGGTTTGTGTGGTTAAAGAGAGAGTTGCAAACATGGAAATATAGACAAAGCAGATATTTTAAACTGCAATTGCTCAACCATCCTTTGCTGGATAGATTTGTCCATGCTAAAATTTACACTCTGAGACAAACTTTGTTGATTTCATGATGAAAAGAATTTTCAGGCTATGTAATGGTGAGAGTTGGGAAAACATACCTTGGAAATGGTTCTCTGTGACACCCTCTATGACCCTCTCCCTCTAATTTTTGTTTGTGAATTTTTCAGGAAGCTTACTCAGTGAAGATAGTTTACTGGCCAAAGATTATCCATCAATAGTCATTTTCATGAGAACCATTATTCTTCATATTTACAAGAAATGGCTAGCCAACTGTTTCCATCTTCAACCCTCTCTTCCTTTGAAAACAGGATTTGTGATGGCTTAAGCCAAGAGCATGTCAGAGAGTTTGACAATAACTCAAAAGTTACAAATCGATTACATAGTATATCTATGATACATTCAAGAGAGAGATGTAAAATTAAAATAGGGAATATCACTATTCCTTACAGCTTGAAAACATTTTGTTTCCTTAGAAGTGAAACTGTGAACAAACTTTTTACCATACCTTGGTTAAAATAAGTCCAAGGACTGTAAATTTGCTTGGACAGACCAATTATATTTTTGTAGACACAATTAATTCATAAGAGTACCACATACATTACAGGACTAGATGTGTTCAAGACACTGCTACAGTTTCTTTCCATATATTCCCCTCAAGGTGTTGATAATGGCTGTTAAGAACACATCACTTAACATGGTCTTTGCCCTTCAAACCAAGAGTAAGCTTCCTAAGTGGATATTTTGATTCTTCCATTACTGAATAACCAACAGACAGATGTCAGTTTGGACAACTTCTTTTAATTCATTAGTGGAAAAGGGGAAGCGTTTAATTATATCAGAAGCAGCTCCTAGAGAGCCAGTGTGGTGGAGTTGACAGAGTGTTTGACTAGAATCTGGGAGAATCAGATTTGAATCCCCACTCTGCCATGAAAGCATGCTGGATGACCTTGGTTAGGTATAAATGAATAAAATAAAGTTAGTGGTAGGAGCCTCTATGTTTGGGCCTTTTAGATTGTTTATTTATTAACAGGTATTGTCGCTCAGTTGCTGTAGAGACGAAAACATCTTTCCCTCACCTAGTACTTCGGTTGTGGAGAAACTTGGCAGTGGATCTGGGGCAAGCGGGCCATTGGTGAGACAGACGCTTACACCACGAGTAATTGGAGCAGATTGTTTTTAGTTAAATTTCCTCACTGTGATTTGATGACCATCAAAAAGATGGGTGAAGGGGTACTCCAGGAATCAGGGCTCACAAAAGTGTCCCAGGAATAAGTGTGTACTCTCTCTTTCTCTTGTTCTGCTTAACTGCAGATCAAGATACTGTTTTTTGGCACACAGTCTCCACTGTACAGAAGGTCACTAACCAATCATGTGATTGAACTAGATGAAACTTCAAACCCACCCAGAATATCTGAGCAGCCTATTCACATGCATTAAAACTGAAAGCTACTAGGATGTTGCAAATAGATTTAAGCTTCTGTTGAAAATAAGATAATGAGCTGTTTTATGGGGCAGAATGATCTGGAGATCATCCAAAACAAATTATTGAAAAGCCTGTTCAACCTACCTGCACAGCCCCACTTATCTAACCCAGCCTTACAAACAGTTTGTAAAACCTAAACAGCTGCTGGTTGCTTAGGAAAATTAATAGTATATATCATTATAGATTTTTGGAGGGCAACTGAACACATTTGGACTTTGGGGGAGAAAATATGTGATAAAATGTTTATTAAGATAACACATGTACAGATTGATGTATAGGCTTTTCTGATGGTTAAATTCTCCCTGTGTCTTAGGTATGTTGAGCGAAATCATGACCTTGAGGTATCTCTTGTGAATAATTTGTCCTACAAATTATGTAAAAAACTAAGAATAGAGACCATGTTTTTGACAGCCATTACAATGAGGTTCCTTTTGAACTAAAGCATTATACATTTGGAGCAAAACTAGCTGAATATTTACCAGATTATCTCCAGCCTTAGAGAAGAATTGCAGTCACTTATTCTTGCTAAAATTCCCCTTGGGTATACTGTCCTCATCACGGAACTTTTACTGAGTGGTAAAGATTTGGGGATAATGTATAAGGTTGCTTAGTTCACTTCAACTACTGCCAATTAAAGTGGGATTTTTTTGCATTCTGATACAGTGTTATCAAATCAATGTTTTACTCTGTGAATTTGATTTAAGGTCCATATTGAGTTTTGCTACTTTTTAAAGTAATTTTATTCATTTTTGTGTTTTATTATTTTATGTGTTCTTCTTGTTAGAACTGGCACCAAATGGTTTCAACAAATCAATCGTATTCACCATGACTGTTGCCTTGTGAGTAAAAATAGCACAACTGGGGGAGGGGCAACCAAATGAATCTAAACCATCAGACCACAAACAGAATTTGAGAGAGATCATATATGGTTGCTTAACCCAATCCATGGGTATAGGGGGAGGGAATAAGGTATTAAGTACGTATGTCATCTAGGTTTTAATAGTTTGGCTTTTTTCTGCAATGGAGGCCAAATTGCATAATAAAAAATAGAGAAATTATCTTATGTAGACATACACTATATGTAAAACCAAGACAGAAAACAGTATGATTTAGTTGCAACTTTGATTCTGTAAGATTGGAAGTCCCTTATGTTTCCCAGAACACCACCTCCTCTCAGTCTAAATGCATTGACTTGCTTAATGATGGGGGAGTGGCTGAATCCTGCTTTTCTGTTTATACAACACACTCTTGCAGGTGCACAGTTCTATTACATGTGCATGTTGCTTGATCAGTTCTTAGAATTCTGGAATTTGGGTGGGCTCTCATCACTGGGAATCTTGTGAAAGTCAACATTTTATAGAACAAAAGTGACAACAAAGCAGTGCTCCATTTTACAGTGCTGCATGTTTCTAAAGTTACTTCCTTGACTTAAGTATTACTAGTTTACTGTTACACTTGATACCTGGTACAGCCAGTTAATTTTATGTACTACTTTAAAATGAAGCAAAAATGTCTCTAAACTTGCTTAACTGGTTCAAAGATAGAACATAAACATAGAACTCTTTGATTATGAGTCATGTATTCTACAACTGCAAGTTTGCATATGACCTCAGGAAAATACTAATTGTGTATTACTACAGTGTGAAATCTGTTCCATGACTCTGTGTAGAATTATATACAACTTCAAAATGTTTCCACTAGAACTTTGCCAGAACAACTACCATGACTCATTGGATCCCTGCAGAGATTCCTAGCAGGGTCCCATGGAGACATAATTCTCATATTTTCTAGTTAAACTTGTATCTAGTAAGAATCAGACATATTAATAGAACTGTGGGAAAATTTATTATCTTGCTCTTTTTGTAGTACAAGAATTGTTTGCTTCAGTTTTGCAGCAAGTAGATTAAGGACAAATAAACCAAGTAAAAACAGAGCATGGGTTCATAACTTAATTTGAAAGTCTCATTCACAATTGATGTAACCAAAGGCAATAGGCCTATTTGTATACAACCTGCCAGACTAAAGATGATAGTAGCAAAAGACAGGATATTTTCTTCTGTGAAGTGAATTCCCCCTTTTCTGGCTGTCATGCAGGTGAGTTTAGTGAAGAAAGTTCAACAAGAAAAGAACTGATCCAAAGATACCTATGTTGACCATGGCCGTTCCCATAGCAGTTCTTGATTGTGATCTCCTGCTTTATGGGCGTGGACATAGGACCCTGGATCGGTTCAAACTGGAGGACGTCACTGATGAGTATCTGCTATCCATGTATGGCTTCCCACGTCAATTCATTTACTACCTGGTGGATCTTCTAGGTGCCAGTCTCTCTCGACCTACCCAGCGTTCCAGGGCCATCAGCCCAGAAACACAAATTCTTGCTGCTCTAGGTTTTTATACTTCTGGCTCTTTCCAGACTCGTATGGGAGATGCCATTGGCATCAGCCAAGCATCTATGAGCCGTTGTGTTGCCAATGTTACTGAGGCCCTGGTGGAGAGGGCTTCTCAGTTCGTTCATTTCCCAGAAGATGAAGCATCTGTTCAAAATCTGAAGGATGATTTCTATGGGCTGGCAGGTATGCCAGGAGTATTAGGACTTGTTGATTGTATCCATGTAGCAATAAAGGCACCCAACGCAGAGGACTTGTCATATGTGAATCGAAAGGGCCTTCATTCTTTAAACTGTCTGATGACATGTGATGCCAGAGGAATGCTACTTAGTGCAGAAACACACTGGCCAGGCAGTCTACAGGACTGCACTGTACTGCAACAGTCAGCCCTAAGGAGCCAGTTTGAAGCTCGCCTACACAAAGATGGCTGGCTTCTAGGTAAGTTCATTCTGGCGAATGACCTCTTTGACAGACTATTCAGTAGAACATCTGTGTGGTTTACCAACATGTAACCTAGTAGATCTTTTTCTATTGTGAAACTCCCTAGCCTTGACAAATGTTATTTATTTATAAAGTATCTGAAATTCTTAAGTGCCGTATAAAATTTACAAAAGATAAAGCAAATTGGTACCAGACAGTAATCTCAGGCGCTGTAAATCTTAAAACGCTTCAGATTTTTATTTACAAATATACCAGGTTTTATCGACAGGATAATGTGGTAAAGGAAATGTATATGTGTGGGAGAATGACCCTCGGTTTCTGAATTTCCTTTTTATTTTGTGATACATCACCACTTCGGTTCACTTTCTAAATATATCTTTGAGTGGCTAGTTTTACATATTTTCTCTAGACTATGAGTAGAAGTTTTCTCAGAGACTTGTTTTACTGGTTACAGTCCAGAAGTCACAAACAAATTTGTTAATGATGGGTGCAAACCTACTTAGTTGTCATGTTCTTGGGCTTGTGTCCTACTAGTCTGTCTCTGGACACAAAATGCAAGCAGCCATGTTTGTTCATTAGAAAGAAACAGGAATAGCATTGAAATGCCCTTATCTTTATGTTCTTTTTTGGGACACTGATCTCAGACAGTTTTGTTACCAGAAACTGGAGATGAACTAAAATATATTGTTCCTATTGGGTTTCTGACCTTTCTCATTTTGGTTTTCAATAGGTGATAGTTCTTTCTTTCTTCGTACTTGGCTAATGACGCCACTGCATATCCCTGAAACACCTGCAGAATACCGTTATAACATGGCACATTCGACCACTCACAATGTCATCGAACGAACATTTAGAACAATGCGTTCTCGGTTCCGTTGCCTGGATGGGTCGAAGGGCACCCTGCAGTATTCTCCAGAGAAAGCCAGCCATATTATCCTGGCCTGCTGTGTGCTTCATAACATCTCCTTGGAGCATGGGCTGGGTTTGTGGTCTTCGCCAACCGTAGGACAGATTGAACAGCCAGAGGAAGAATATGAGCATATGGAATCACTTGATTCTGAAGCCGATCGAGTTCACCAGGAATTATTGCTGACTCATTTTAGCTAGCCTAATGAGATACACCAAGACAGATTTAAGAGAAAATGAGAAAAAAACATAAATTGTAGATCTTGATTTTCCTTTAAAATTAGGAAAGTTAGAACTAGAGAGAGAATTATAGCTACTAGAGGGCAGACAGTAATGAAACCTTCATTTTCCATTTGGGGAACATTCTGCATCTTTGGCTCATTGTTCATGCTGCATTTGAGTCCCTTGATGCTTAGTATTTCAATATATGCTCATCTTAATTTCAGCATTATTGGGGGACAGTTCATGAAGGATGTCAACATGAGATTAGAGTGGACAATTATACTGGGAGAATGTTATGATATTTTAAGCACTGCAGAATGTAACAATACTATCTTGTGTACAGTATAATCAGATTCCAAACAACAGAGTTTAGACTGAAATTCAGACTTGACCTGTGCACAGTGAAAAATGACCTAAACATTCCTTTTTTCCAGGATCTATTTCCCACTGTTGTGTGCCTTTCTTAAAATCCCGTATCAACTGTATATATGTGACAGAATGGTGAAGGATCTTTTCTGTCATGCAAAATGGTGATTTTCATGCTGAAGTATATTTGGTTTTTCAAAGGCCTTATATACATATTTATAGAATGAATAGAAAGTAGGTACTAAAGCTGTTTCCCTGTAAGGAACATTACGACAGCAAAATCAGTTAATTGAGTTCATAGGCTTGGCTCTGGAACAGTGTTTCCATGGGCACAAGGACTTCTGCCCATGGAGTGTGATTTTCTTACCTCTTCCCTCCCACTGCAGCCCCAATGCCTACTGAAATGCTGTTCCTGGGGGACAGCCCCCGCCACCCAGTATTTAAGGAGGCATTTGAAGCTTCAACAGGAGGGAGGAGGTGAGAAAGTTGTGGCCTACAGTTATTCAGCCCGTGGAAATGCTTCTCTGTATCCAAGCTCATGTTCTTGTATTAGCTGCATGAAAATTTAAGTCTGTTTCATATAGTACAGGAGACCAGCACTATTAAAAGGGATGTCCTTGGTCCCAGCAGAAAGGTTTTTTTTTTATCATTGTCTCAAATCTTGTCATAATGAACTTGCACTAGTGCAGAAATGAGTAGCTTGAGCCTCTCAGATTGTACCTAAATGAAAGCAGACATACTTGTTCAAAAAGAAAGCAGTAGAACCACAGAACCCCATTGCATACCTAGGGAAATAATGCAGAAAGGCAGAACATTCCCCTAAAAAAATTGAAGATTATTCTTCAGTCAACGTAAGTGGAAAGATTTAAGTGACACCATTACATTAACTGCTAACATGGACTGGGATACACAGGAAGTACACACAGGTTCACAATCTGCCCTGTGGCTCAATTAAGACATGGGCTGATTATTAAATAGGCAGACAGTGTATGGAGGAAAAGCAGCAGTGGAGTGCATTTTTTTCTCAGTGCATTCTGCACCCAAAGACACAGTGCATCAGATGCAGTGTACATTTGTGGCTGAGATTAGATCACCTAGTGTGTGCTGGGCAATGGGCAGAATATGTCCCACCATGACAGTGTCCTAAAATACAGTCTTTATTTTGTCATAGAGTTCAGTAGGAGCTTTTGAGGAGTGAAACAGCTATAATCTGCCTAGCCCTGCACCATCTGTTATAGATAGATACCAATCTGGAAGCTTTTGACTCTGAGTTTTTTCAGCCTGGCATCTAGGTGGTTTTAAGTCCTTGTAGAATGATTAGAGTTCCATCTTCTATTGTATCTAGTTACTAGACTGCAGTACAAGTTTGTTGAGGACCAAAGATGAGCCTGTTATCTTGGAACTGGAGATAAGGAGTTAGAGTGAACAGCATATATAAAGGGATTACCTGGACAGAGAAACAAGCAGGAATCTAAGGAGGCACTTTTCTGCCATGCTTTTGGTTTTTGTACTTACATGCTTACATTTTTATAAATATTTTAAACATGCCTGTCTTGGACCTAAGCTTCTATCTCTGAGCACACATTCACTAGGGAACAGTTCTCCTTCTGCAAGCAAGGTTTAAGCCAAAATAACCAAGATGACTGAGCCTTTTTAAGAGGACTCTTAGCAGTCTGTACCTGTCCTCTCTGAAGGGCTGTGACACCTCATCTTCATTGCCCTGTTCTTGGCTTCATTTCTTTGTCAGGCTAATAGTACAGATTAACAGAATGCTTCTCATTATTACTATGCTGGACATAATTGTAAGATCCTGGAGAAAGGTGCATTAAAGCTGCCTATGGCCCTCAGTGAAGGTTGCTTTTTGTGTCAGTGTGGGGTAGGGTGTGTTGTACCCTCACTGTCTTGATTTCCTGACAGTACTTTATTTTCTCCAGTAAGAGTGAATAGCAGCCGCTGACGTGACTGGAAAGAGGTATAGCTGAAGACATCATTTGGGTTGGGGGCTGCACTTGCCATATATCTGGTGGCTCCAATTTCTTTGGAGGGAGCAGATTTTCCCTCCCCCAACAGTATAGTTGATTGTAGCCCCATTCCATGGAACTCAGTGGGGGGTCTGTTATGTGCATCAACTAGCTAGAGTTTTATTTCTTAGTCATGGTAAACCCCACTATGTGGCAGAAAACTGGGAATCAACTTTTTATTATTTGACAAGAAAAAAACCTCAAAACTCATTTGGGGAAAATTCCTACTCTGTAAGGTTATTTTACATAATATGCGGTGGCTCAAGTGGTTAAGATGCTGAACTGCAAACCGGAAGGTCAGTAGTTCAGCAGTTCAAGACCCTAGTGCTGCATGATGGAGTGAGCTCCCATCTCTGGTCCCAACTCCTGCCAACCTAGAAGTTCGAAAGCAAGAAATAGGTACCACTTTGGTGGGAAGGTAACAGTGTTCCGTGTGCCTTGGCGTCTAGTCATGACCATGGAAATGTCTTTGGACAGCGCTGGCTCTTCGGCTTGGAAATGGAGATGAGCACCGCATCCCTAGAGTTGGATTCGACTGGCTTTTGAGCAAGGGAAACCTTTACCTTTACCTAATGGTTTGACAGAATTCTATTTAAAACATGCAAAAACACTAATATGCTGTTGTGATAATTAATGAAGGCATTACCCCTTTGTTTATCTGACTGCCATCATCATACCTATTAAGCAACTGTGCTAATATATGCTAAGAAGCTAGAGTGAGGCAAAACCGATTAGAGATGCAAGTGCCTTCTTAAATTCAGACATCTGCATGTAATGTGGGATCTTAAGACCCATCCCTAATTACATTCGTGTTGTGATTATGATGCAGGACTTGCAGCAGCTCTTGGTGAGATCATGGCAGAACTATCAGTCTCAGTGAGTGTTAAGAATAAAGGAGAATGTAAAGTTACAAAAGGAAAGAAGCATAAAGTACATCTGGTCTAATTTATACAATGTGGCAAGTTCTTCCATACCCCAAATTTCAGAGCAGAAACTATTTATATCAAAGGCTGTTTCACATGTGTCCCCACTAGAGCTACTGAGATGCTGGAGAAAATGTGTTTACTTGCATAGATAGTCATCTGTGAAATGTATATAATTTACACATGTATTTACTTACTAGACAAGCCCTCTCCTATCCTGGGGTCAAAACAGGTTAAAGTAACTATTCTTTCCCTATCCTTTGGACACTGAGAAACTGGATTCAATAGCAGATTTTCAGCGCACATACCTGTAATGATGTAAGACTTTTCTGATTATATAGTGCAGTGGTGGCGAACCTATGGCATGGGTGCCAGAGGTGGCACTCAGAGCCCTCTCTCTGGGCACACGTGCCATCGCCCCAGCCAGGCCCAGACCATCATTAAAGTGTCGAATTCTCTGCAAAATAATTTTAAGTAAATGAAAGCATTTGGGATTGCTTTCCTTACTTTGTTTGGATCATCTTTAGTTAATGTATGAGTTTTTTCTAAAGTAAAACCTCAGTATTCAGGTTAAATTGCCATGTTGGCACTTTGCAATAAATAACTGTGTTTTGGGTCACAGTTTGGGCACTCAGTCTCTAAAAGGTTCACCATCACTGATATAGTGGGTACAACTAGGGCCATCAGAGGGATGGCCGGAATCATATGTACATATGTGGCTTCATAACCACGACCTTTCTGTTCTGTTGGGCCTAGATACCCCAGTCTAGCCCGATCTTGACTGCTAAGCAGGGTTGGCCCTGGTTAATATTTGGATGGGAGACCACTAAGGAAGCCCAAGGTTGCTACACAGAGGCAGGCAATGGCAAACAACTTCTGAATGTCTCTTGCCTTGAAAGCCCTACCAGGTCGCCATAAGTCAACTGCCACTTGAAGGGGGAAAGAACTTTAAAATTATTTATTTATGCATTTTATTTACAAAATTTATACCATGCCTTTCTGCCTTCATTGGGGGCTACCAAGGTGGCTAACAGATTAAAAACTTACATAATAAAAACACATCTTAAAAACCATTTAAACCAAACAAAACATTATTAAAACAAATAAAACCAAAGCTAAAATTCACATACAAAACATAAGGCAGGAAGGAGAGAACACTGAGGGAATGCCAAACAAAAAAAAGTCTTCACCCACTGGCAGAACAATGCACTAGGAGGGGACAGAGAAGTTCCAGAATTCTGGGGTCACAGCGAAGAAAGCCCTCTCCTGGATTGCCACCCATCTAATCTCAGAAGGCGGAGACAACTGGACAGGGCCTCGGAAGATAACTATAGTGGTTGGGTAGGTTTGTAAGGGAGCAAGTGACCTTCAGGTATGCTGGTCTCAAGCCATATAGGGCTTTCAAGGTCTACACCAATATCTTGATATGTGCCTGAAAACAGACTGGGAGCAAGTGTAGATGGGCCAGGACTGGAGTGATATGGTCCCTATTGCTCACTCTGGTCAACATCCTAGTGCAATATTCAGCAGCACCAACTGGTGTTTCTGAACAGTTTCCAAGGGTAGTTCCACACTGAGTGAATTGCACTAGTCTAATTTAGATATAACCAAGGTATACTGTACAGTGGAAAGATCTTTTCTGTCCAGGAAAGGGTGCAGTTGACTAGTGGAAGCTGGTAAAAGGCACTCCTGGCCACAACTACCACTTGCCTGACCTGCAGTAGGACTGGATCCAAGAACACCCCTAAACAGGAAGGACCTGTTTCTTCAAGGGGAGTACAAACCCATTCAGAACAGCTGGCACTTTAAATCGAGGGTCAGACCATCTGTTCACCAGTAGTGTTTCCATCTAATCCCTAAAAATGTTTGTGATTTTTCACTTCTGGGACAAGCAAGTACTACACCATCTTTTCTACTTCTTTCACATGGAGATATTTTTAAAAACTAGCAGCTCCATTAACCTCTTCCTGCCTTATCCACCATTTCTGTTTTAAGGATCAAGAGCAGAGAGTCTAAAGCTAGGATCCATTGCCTTTTGAGTCTGGAGGATAATACTGGTGAGCAAAGAAGAGGCTGAAGTTTCCTTTACCCAGACGAAGTTCTCTCTTTCAGGTACAGTAAATGTTCCTGTAGAGACAGATACCTTAACCAGATCTAACTGAGATCATTAGGTCAGTCAAGGAACACCAAGCAGAAATGGCAGAGATTGTTGTGTCTCACGTGGCCTCATAAATTTGATATGGTTCCAATCTGAGCACAATATTCTGGTCATATGACTAATTGGCTGTTGTCCAGTGGCTGACTTGAAGAAAAGGGTGCTGGCACCCTGTGTTCATTGGTCACCACTATTCTACTTTTTCTCAAGAAAATCAATCTTTCCTTCTGCTGCTTGTGCTTTTTCTTGATTTAGAAACCTAGGCTGAATTTCACCATCCTCATATATATCTGCAGCATGGTTTTCAGCATTTTATTAACATATAAATCA